CACATGATTCTCCTTATGGGGACCTGATATGTTTAATATGCTGCTGAGAATATAGCCCAGAAGAAGCGTATAGTATAGCTTTTATTTTGGAAACAGACATTTCTCTGTAATAAACTCTCTTTTCAAAAGACAGAACCGTGAATTTTGTGTGTCGTTGCACCCCTAGTAAATACATTTGAATTGAATTGATTTAAAGGACCACAAACAAGGTATTAATCATTTTATTTGGTTTTCTGCATATAATGAACTCATTAAAACATTATTTTTGGATCACATACATTACAAATGAAAATAAGAAAAAAAAATAACATTTTAATGTCATCAATGTTTTCTTATTCATGACAAATGGTCAACAAACATTATGTTTATATGTTTACATTTACGAGCATCCATGAAAAGATTTAATATGTGCAGAATGTTTTTGTGTGTCAGTTATATTGTGGAGCTGAATTGATTCCTGCTGTTTAAAATTCACAGATAAAAGTCAGAATTTTCCATCGAACTGGTCTCCGGCCTCTGCTGTCATTTTGCTTTCCTCAATGAGAGCATCATTAACGGCACTGTTTTACATAGTTGGAATAGCAAACCGCCAAACACATCAGTGTTTAATATTAACCATGCTAACATTTAGGAACATCACCATTTTGGTTTGACTTGCTTTCATCAGGCAGCAAGGAGCTACGTGCAAGCACACACACGTACACAAGTGCAAACTTTTCACACAGCATCTCCCACACACCCTCTTCTCTCCATCATCCCAGCTGTGAAGTGTCATCTTGGATGACTGACAGCTAAACTGAGGCGAGATGAATATGAATGGGACTGTGAATATGAATATGCAGATGAGGAGCGGAGACGGTTTGGCTGCCGTCGTCTTTTTTAAAAGATCTGTCAGAAAACGACGGCTGTCACCCTTCAGCCTCGCTTCTTTGAGATAATACTGGCCCACTTACAGACCTGCTGGGAGGAGAGCGGTACTGCAGTGTGCTGAGGTTAGTGGCACACACAGAGTATATAATGATAAGCCTTGAACCAAACAACTGTTGTGTCATAATCACTAATTATTTAAGTTGTTATTAGACAAATAACAAGTAAGCACTAAGTGAGGGTAGCATTAAGTCAGGTAGGCCACAGAATTGAGCTCAGAGACAAGCTTAGCAGGTCAGCTGATCTCAGTGTCAGCCTGCATCAGCTGATGGATTAACCAGTCAGTTTCTGTGCACCCAATTTGTGAAAGTCATATAATATGAAAGGGAAGGCAGGTATGCTCTGAACACAGATGTGCCACAGATGAATTGCTACAGATGGAAATGACCGTTGGCATGGGCAGCAGAGTGGTGTGGTGGGCAGCAGAGCACGGGCTCAAATCCACCATCTGGATTGTTTTGGAGTTTCCATGTTCACCACGTGATTGTGTGGATTCTCTCCGGCCTCTTCCCCGTAATCCAAAGAGATGCATGTAGTGGCGTTAGGTTAACTGCTGATTCTAATGTAGCCCTTGGTGTGAATGGTTGTTTCTCTGCATTAGC